CAGCTGGAAATCCTGGCATCTACTTCCATTTTGTGTTAAACAATCTGATCTCACTTAGTGAAGAGTGCATGTGAGTTTAACAAAAAAGAAAGAAAGAAAATAAAAAGGGCTGGAGAGATGGCTCCATGGTTAAGAACACTGTCTGCCCTTCCAGAGGTCCTGAGTTCAATTCCCAGCAACCACATGGTAGCTCACAACCATCTATACTGGGATCTGATGCCCTCTTCTGGTATGCAGGTGTACATGCAGACAGAGCACTCGTGTACATGAATTTTTTTAAAAAAAAAGTTTGTGTGAGAACTAAGGACACTAGGTGTTAAGGAACTGGCTTGCTACAACTGCTAAATCACTCTGCAGCCCTTCTTTCTAATAACCCCTTCGAACGTTTACAATTCTTGCTTATTAGTCTTGTGACTCCTGGCAGCTTCATAACTTTTCTGTGCAGTCATGCAGCCTACTCTCGAATGATAACACTAATGAAAGGAAAACACCAAACCACCCAGGTACACAGCATACTCAGTGACAGTGCCTCCCCTTTGGCCAGTCTCCACTCCAGAGCTGCAAGGTTTCTCCTGACTGACTGGCCATCCGATTTACATGTGATATTTTAAAGAGTAGAGTGCAAAGAGCTTAAGAAAATAGAGCATCATGTCTCTCAGGAGGAAGCCTTTGTAATGGCCTCTCGGATACTGGGAAGTGACAAAGGGGGAAGCTCCCAGAGGCAGTTCCTGCCCAGGCCTCTCTCTGCATCAGCAGGCCCCGTGGGAAACAGTGTTAAGGTCAGTCTGCGGCTTGGCATGCTAGTCCCCAGACAGGAGCCTCCATGTTCAAGGCTCACTGGTTGGGGGCGCAGAGGATAGTGGGAAACAGCCTGGAGTCACTGTTCTCTTGGGCTACCCGTCAAGCAGTAGGAGGTCTCCCTGGAAACATCACAGGCAGATTCCGAGAGTCCTGTAAATGTCCCAAAAGGCCGCCTTATTATTTTCTACCACGTAAAATAAAGTCAACTAAGGTAGGTAAGATAAGGAGAACAAAATTTTTGGTGTAAGTGTCAAAAAGTGGATCACCTAGAGCAGCGGTTCTCAACTTTCCAAATGCTGCGACCCTTTAATACAGTGCCTCATGTTGTGGTGGCCCCAATCATTAAATTACTTTCATTACTACGTCATAACTGTAATTTTGCTCCTGTTATAAATCATAATGTAAATTTTGTTTTGTTTTGTTTTTTGCTTGTTTGTTTTGTTTTGGTTTTTCCAGTTTCTTTGTGTAGCCTTGGCTGTCCTGGACTTGCTTTGTAGACTAGGATGGCCTCGAACTCAAAGAGATCCACCTGCCTCTGCCTCCCCAATGCTACAATTAAAGGCATACGCCATCATGCCCAACTCATAGAGACAGAAGTTTGCCAGAAGGGTTGCGACCCGCAGGTTGAGAACCAATGATCTAAAGGTTTCTGCTTCTGGGAGGGCTCCTTCCAGACTCAATCCCTACAGATTCTACAAAGAGGGACTGAGGAGATGGCTCAGTGATTAAGAGCACTGGCTGCTCTTCCGAAGGCCCCAGGTTTACTTCCCAGCACCCACGTAGCAGCTCACAACTGTCTGTAACTCCAGTTCCGAGGATGTGACACACTCCACAACCATATACGCAGGCAGAACACCAATGCTCATAAAATTAATTAAAACAAAGATCCCTCAAATAAAGCATCTGATGGAGGAGAGACCAGAAAGCATGAAGGGCTGGTAATGCTTTGCCCTGAGGTGAGGCTAGACCTGGATCTAAAGGGCAATTGAGATACTGAGGAAAAACCCTTAGTCTTCTGTCTTAGGTACATTAGGAAGGTTTTGTGGATCCTGAAAGGAAAAGATTACAAAGTTCAGAGAAGAAAAGGAGCTTGGTATGTCCAGCCTATTCCTACCCCTGACTGCCTTGACCCCTGCTCTAGCAGAACAAGCAAACGCAAGCTCAATGAATACAGACAAAAACTTTCTTTGTGTCCCAGCCAATAAGCCACCTGAAAAAAACAAAACAAGAAAAACTAAGCCATGGCCTCAGATAAACAACAGAAAACCAAACATGAAGAAACATCTTGGAAGCAGCTATGGAAAACTATGACCTATACATAGGGAAATTATCTGAAACACCACTGCTGTGCGTCCAGGTGCAGCGGGACAGCTGTGACACTATCAGGGAGCTTTTCCTAGGCACGAGAATGCACTTCTTTTTTTACATTTCTTTGTAAAGATGTATTAATTTTACATGCGTTTTGCCTGCATGTATGTTGTATACCACATGTGTCCAGGGTGCCTGTAAAGGTCAGAATAGGGCACAGGATCCCTGGAATTGGAGTTATGGACAGCTGTAAGCCACCATGTGGGTGCTAGGAACAAAACACCGGTTCTCTCCAAGTGCAGCCAGTGCTCTTGTTTGCTGAGCCATCTCTCCAGCCCGGGAATGCTCTGCGGCGATTTACATAGTATCTCCCCATCGGAGAGCGGACAGCCACCATCACCACATCTCAGTCATGGTACATTTCATATGGAGGCCATGTCACCTCCACTCAGTCATGCTGCAATAACTAGAGAGTACAAATTTCACGTTAGGCCTCCCCCATGTCCCCACTACGATAATCCCTCTCCACTCAAATATCTAGGGCCCACTGGCATCCACATCTCACAGATGCCAGCCTGTATGCTTGATGCCTGCCTGGAACCTGGGCACAACCAAAGCACAAACTGCCCAGCAGTCTCTGCATAGATACTCCTGGGCTGATTCATTCGCCAGAACACTGACTCCAGTCGTCTTCCCTGGAGGGCTAGTCAACTGGACTGCCAGGGAAGCTAATTTTACAAAGCACCTGTTAACCACAGCAGACAGAATAGGTTGTGTTGGCAACAAGGTGGAAAACTTTCCTTGAGGAGAACTACAGACGGAGCCCTTGCTGGCCCTGACACCCGCCTCCACCAAGAAGGTCAGCAATTTCAACTGCTGTTCTAAATACCTGCTTCCCTTAAGCAGAAAACTCAAAGTATTTAGTGACTAGACTGAAATTCTCTAACTTGAAACTCCTTCCTTTTAAAAATAATTAAAAGACTGCATCGTTCTACAGAAAGTGTGTTATAACAGCGTGTTTGGAGAATTTTAGGCATTTCCAGCTACATATCCCATTACTGCAATAGGCTGCCCAGAAATCACACGGGACTACTCATTTCCCATCATATTTAAAAAAAAAAATTAGTTCTGGCAATTTCTTTGGTGGATTTCGATCATCACTTACTGAAAGCAGGAAGCCAAGGCTGCTCTGCCATCCACAGTATGAGGAAGCCTGTCTCTCCAACTCAACAACACCTATGACTTAGTCACTGTTCTACGGCTGTGAAGAGACACCATGACCACAGCAACTGTCGTAAGAGAAAGCATTTAACGAGGATCTTGCTTACTGCTTCGGAGGGTTACTTCACTATATGGCAGGAGCATGGTGGCAGGCAGGCAGGCAGGCATGGTGCTGGAGAAGCAGCTGAGAGCTATGCAGAAAACAAGACCCAGGGCCTGGTGTGGGCTTTTGAAACCTCAAAGGCCAACCCCAGTGACACAGGGCTTCAATCCTAACCCTTCCCCAACAGTTCAACTGGGGGGCGGGGTGTAAGCATGCAAATATGTGAGTCTATGGGGGCCATTTTCAAACCACCACAACCTATAACCAAAGAACTGAGAAAGGATGCAAACTTTCCTTGGGGAACCTTCTAAGAGAAATCTCCCCATTTACAGAACATACATGTATTTTGGTTGCTTTTTGTTGTTGTTGTTGTTGTTTTTTAATCACATCATGTTACTGCTGCTTTGAAAACCCTGCAAAGGCAGCCCACACCATTAGTCCCAGAGCTTGTAAGGCAGAGGCAGGCAGATCTCTGTGTGTTCAAGACCATTCTGGTCTACAGAGTGAGTTTCAGGCCAATCAGAGTGAGCAATAGAATAAAACTATCTTAAAAAAAAAAAAAAAAAAAAAAAAAAAGTCTTTCAAAGGAATGACTTTTCCAATGATAAAAACTTTTAAAAACTGGAGTAGACCCAGCCCACAAGCCCTTTCTAGACAAATCATCCTGAAAACTCTGCCCTTTCTTAAACAAGCATCTAATGCACAGCCCACCTGACCTCTCATCCCTCTTTGGTCCTCACATTGCAGCTAAGGGCTTGGTGGTCTTATGAAGCCTATGTAAGGCAGGCTGGAAGAGCAACAGAGCACATCTCTCTCCCAGATGGCTAAGTGCAGTATTGTGCAGGCATGCAAAGTCCTGAGAAATCACACTCTAACCTACAGTCAGCTAACGTGTCCCTGGAGCCATGACTCAGACAGAGTAAAGCAAAAGTACTGCCTGAAAACTACTCTAGAAAAGAAGGCTCAAGATCTTCAACTCTCAACTAACAAACCCCAACACCGGCCTTCTAACTGGACCCTGGGAGAAGACCTGTGTCATTTCCCGGTCCTTTGGGAGCGACTGAAATCGAAGCTTCTGGGGCCGAACATGCTCAAGCACAGCTCCTATTATTCATCAGTTGTGGAGAGAACTAGATAAAGAGGCAGATGAAGAGACTACACACAGTGCCTAGGCCCTGAGTGTCCTGAGGCAGTATTCTCATTACTGTCATCAGTGTGAATGACCGTGGGATGACTGAGGGAGCTTTGTGAACCTTCATGGGTCCTGCATCAATTTCCACCAGGGAGACTTAGGACGCTGAGCAGTAACAGAACCAGCAAAGGCTCCACTGAAACCACTGAAAGGTAGCTACAGGGGTTCATAAATAAATAGATAAGGCTGTTTTACCAGCCATGTAGAAGGCCCTGGGCTCAATCCCCAGCACCAGGAGCACACACATGTGGACACATGTACACACACACAGAGGTACATGTATATTCACCTCTACTACAAGTGAGGGAGCAAAAGTGATAAAAACTAGAGTGAGATACTATTCCGCGCGGTAAAGCACACTGCCATTTCTATTACCATGATGGGGACACCAATGTCTGGCCACAAAAGGTCCTCCGAGGGCAGCTTGGGAGAGTTCCACACCACCACTACCTTGTTCAGGTAGGGGAGGCCGTTGAGCCTCTCCAGGGAGTTCATGAGCACTTCCTCTCGCTCATAAGTCAACATCACAACTGTGAACTGCTCCCGCTGGACGTTGCCTCCAAGTGCTGCCTGGAACTCCTTCCCAGAGCCCCCAGCCCCACCACCGATGGGCCGAAACCCAGTCCCTGAGCCCAGGAATTTGGCCTCAGAGGGCAACACAGGGTCAAAGGGTGTGTGGGGGAAAAGATGGAAAGGTCCGGGGGCAGAGTTCCAGCTACGGTAACAGTCTGTGACAGTCAGAGTGAAGTTGCGGAGGTATTTAGGTGAGGCATAGGGCGGTTCTGTCTCTACCGGCCCCAGGTCCAGGTCCCCATTGTCAGCCATGTTGGGGTCAGTGCCAGCTGCTTTTCCTGAACGATGGGGGATCTCAGCTGCTACCTCTTCCCGGATGGGAGCAGCTGGGATCTGGATGCGAGTCCTAATCATGGCCAGCACGGTATTAAAAATACTGTCAGCAGTGGAGAAGTAAGTCTCCCAGAGAAAACGGCCTTGCCGCCTCATAGCCAACAAGTCACTGTCTGAAAGACTTCGTAACAGGAAGTGGACCTCCGTGACACGCGGCTTGGGCACCACCAGGGCAGCCTCATTCCACTCCAGCAAGTCATGGTACGGGAGCTGCACCTGCTCCCCCAGGACAACGGGCACAGCTCCCACTTCCAGGGCTTCAAAGAGCCGTGTTGCACACCCGGAAGAAATAACCAAGCGCGGGTCCCCGGGAGTGATGATGAGGGCAAAGGTGGAAAGCTTCAGTAGCTCCAGGCGGTCTTCCCGCTCCCCACACAGCGCCCACTCAGTAGGCAGACTGGGTTTCGGCTGGTTTTTACAGGTAAATTCCACCAGCACCTGATCGAGCTTGCTGTCCTGTACAGCCTTTAGGGTGGCAATGATCCGGTCATCGTAGTCGGCTGGAGGGTCACCCTCCATTTCTTCCTCAAAGGAACGGGCCTCCTGAAGGCTAGATCTCAGGGACTCAATCTTCTCACCCTGGAAAGTGAAGAGATATTTCCGCTTAACTGGCACCTGTGGTGGGATTTCCATGAAGTTGGGTTCAGACATGGCATGGACAAGCGGTGACACCACCAAGTCAAAGCCGGGCCTGTACTGGGCAGCATAGAAGGTGGACTGAGCCACCATGGCCCGGCCTGTACTGACATTGTACAGTAAATTCTGTGTGTCTGACTTCCGGGACAGGTTAATGAGGACATGGTTGTGTCCATCTGTCCTCCAGTGTGGCAGAGAATACAGCTGCTTTTCGAGGTCAGCAGGCCGCAGCACGACAGGCTCTTGCATTTCTCCCACTAACACCACATACAGGCAGGCGATGGCTGCGTTCTCCGTAACATAAACATTGGCTCTCGCCGTGGCCTGAAAAGCTTGCTTGACCAAAGGGTCCAGGTAGCTCCCAAAGGCGTACTGGTCACTGTCATAGACATAGACAGGAAAGCCAGAGGTCAGAGGACAACGAGAGTAATCAAAGCAGTTGTGCAGCCGGCAACCCCGGGTGACCTTGGGGGGTGGAAGGCCAGCATCATCCTTCTCAGGGAGCAGTCTGATGGGCAGAGACAGTTTGGGCTGGTTCTGGGCCATCAGCTCCTTGTAAGAGTGTTCTGTCTGGCTAATGACGTTCTTAAGCTGCAGCAGGTCCTGCTTGGCGTTTTCTATGCTCTTCTTACAGGCTTCAATCTTGAGGTTCAGTTTGGCAATTTCACTGTTCAGCTCCTGCCGCTTAGCTTCTAGCTGTAGAAGTTCTTCGCTCACAGACTCACGAATCCGACAAAGATCTAGAACATGCTTTACCTCACAGAGCTCATTGCCAGCCCGGGGGCCAAAGATGCGCTTGCCGGCCTCATCTGCCTCATCCAGAGTGGTGAGGTAATAGTGAGCAATGAGGGGAAAGAAGACCAGGATGATGAAGAGCGTAAAACTCAGCCACGTCAGCCGGATGCGGTTGGACCAGCGCAGCATACAGGTCTGACCGCCATTCCCCACGCCCCCATTCCGCAACATGGTATAGCCTGTCATGAGTTCTCTGTGGCTCCTGACCACGCTGATCACGTTGGATCACTCGCCATAACCATGAGTCCTTTTGACAAAAAACTCAGCCTCTTTTTCACATACAAGTTTCTGGAAGAGTCAGTGTGCTCCCTGCACAAGGCACCAAATAAAATGGAAATTTCATTTTCCTCAGCTGTGACTCAGAAGGTCTCTAACCCTAGTCAGGCAGATTCTAAGTATTGGCTGTCATCATCAAATAGAAAAAGGTACCATATTGCTGATAGGATAAAAAGGAAGAGATCCATGGTGTTAAAATCCAGGGGAAAAGCCCTGGATTCAGAGGGACAATTTTATCTGCCATAGCTTTTGTTCCTTGGCTTTGTTGACCAGCCAGTACGCATAGCTTCTATTCAAGTTATGCAATGACTGGAAAAAACAGCTGGCAGCTTGAAATGCCAGCCCTGTCCTCCATGTCACTACCAACAATCAGGCCTGCAAAAGAAGGAGAATCTTGTCAGTCTTGAAAAAGATTACGTTCAAAGCTCCATTACCATTCCCCCACCCCAGCCCCAGCACAGCTGTTTCTACCTGAGACCGGGAGCTGCATGAGTTGAAGAGAAGCAATATCCGGCTCCCCTTGGTGCTCTCCTAACATGAAAGTCTCCTTTTGAAGTTCTTAGCAAAATCAACTCTGAGAGGCTCAATTTGTTAAATTTAGAGTTGAAAAGAGTTAAGAGAACTATTCTGAACTTCACCCAGGAGTAGATAAAAGGTATTTTCTAGTCTGCCCCTATTTATCTTCCATTAGCAGACATCAGGCACTTCTTCTTAAAATAGAAACAGTAACTTGGTCTTTCAGAGAGAACACTATACTTAGAAATGAGAGGCGGCGTCACTGCATCCTTTAAGGCAGACCTGCTGCTGGCCCTCATACTCCGTGACCTAATAACAATGTATTATCATGCTATGAAAATAAGCAGACCGAGACCAGTTTCCCCAGTCCTGTTCCCTCACCAAACTATAACCCAACATACAGCCCCTCAAAGTACACACACCCACAAGTGAAGTCATACTACTCTACGCCAAAGAGATATTCCTATTTCATGCATTCACATCCTCACACACATACGTGCACATTCATTCACAGGCAGGCAGGGTGGCACAGCCACTGTAGGTAGCACTCAGGAGGCCGAGGCAGGAGAGTCAAGGCCAAGCAGTGCTACACGGCAAGAGTCTGCCTCAAAAAATGAGACAAAGTGTGTATGTGGCTACGTGTACTTTAGACAGTCTAACATATGGCAAGGAGAATTAGCTAGCATGGTAATAACCCCTGGCCTCATCAAGCTGCACTGCGTCTGTCGCCTGTCTTGCACACACCTGTGAGTTGGATGCCCAGCAGGGGTAGGTAGGATGTACACACCAACTGCAGGAGCACTCCTACAAGGGGTGGGAGGTAAGAACTGTCTCACCCAGGCTCAGCCGCCCCAGCCTCCGTCCAGCTCCACATGTGCGACTGCTAAAGTCTCAGAAGGCCTTTTCTACTCTCAGGCTAAGACATGAAGTTGACAACAATCTTACTAAAAGTTTAAGGAGGGCAAGTGATCGGGATGACAAAAAGTAAAACAAAATCTACCCTTGAAATACTAAATTTGGACAATTTACATTTGTGAAATAGGGGCTGAGACAATGGCTCAGCAGTTGAAGCGTGCTTACAGTTCTTGCAGAAGACACAGTTTCTTTCCCAGAACTCACATGGGGTGGCTCCTAGCCACCTGCAACTCCAGCTTCAGGGGCTGCAAAGGCTCTGGCCCACACAAGCACCCATACTTGTGCACGCGCGCACACACACACGCGCACACACACACACACACACACAGTTAAAAATAAAAATAAATCTTAGGGCCAGGAATGATAGCATATAACTTTAATCCCAGAATTCATGAGGTAGAGGCAGACAGATCCCTACGTGTTTGAAACCATCCTGTTTTTTTTTTTTTTTTTAGGCCAAATAGGGTTTTATAGCGAAACCCTGCCTCAAAACACTAAAAATAAATCTTTAAACTCAGATAAATAACATCTACTCAAACACCCACATCCAGACTTATATTTCTTTTTGTTTGTTTGTTTGATTGATTGTTTTGTTTTCCCAAGACAGAGTTTCTCTGTATAGCCCTAGCTGTCTAAACTCACTCTGTAGGCTAGGCTGGCCTCAAATTCACATAGATCTGCCTGCCTCTGCCTCCTGTCTGGGATTAAAAGCATGCACCACCACTGCCTGGCTCATGACCCACATTTCTAAAGCATCCACATTATCCTTTTACTCAAGTGCTTGTGCTTCTGCTGTACTGTGTGTAAGAACAGAGCAAAGGAAGAAGAGACAGGCTACAGGCCATGCAGCCAGTGCCCTCCCTGCTCACCTTACGTGGCTGCGTTCTTCCTTTTTCTAGCTTATGTAGTAGTATTATGCTTCAATATATGATTCTTAAAATAGTGGACACCAGAGCTTGCTCTCCTGATTTAAAGAGAAAACAGAAGTGACTATTTGAAAAGCGCTCCCTACTGAAGGTGCTGTTAAGGATTTTAATTAGGCTTTCTGAAAAGCTTCCCTAGCAGTACAGCAGCACAGAGCATGCTACAAGCAGAGCTCTTTGGAGTGAGCAGGTCCTCCCAACAAACAGTAGGACAATGGGAGTTTTTTCAGACAAACTACTCAGGTGGCTGTTGCTTGCTGCTGTGCTGGAGTGTAAAACGGAAGCTATAAAATGTGGGCAGCATACAAGGACTTTAGCAGTATACACTGAGTTCTTTATGAGTTCTTTGTGAGAATGGAGTTCAGGATAAACAGGAGACAAGAGAGGAGCATGTAGAGGCATAAATGAGGCAGCATCAGCCCTGAGCCAGGTGTGCAGGCCCCACGTGGAGGAAGCAAAGGCAGGAGGAGCTTGGGTTTGAGCATTTGGGCAACAGTACTCCCAGTACACCCAACATACAGAGTTGACAACAGAAATAAACGTTCTAATGGAAACCAACACTGGTTCCAAAGAATTTTATCCCACTAAGTTCTATCTCATTTGCCAGCAGAAGCCAAAAGGATAACCATTGGCCAACAGTGTGGATTTTGCATTTTAAACATCTACTTACAGTTTTCAAGCTTGAAAGAAAGAGAAGCCCTCAAACTCTCTTCTGATATTCTCTCATCCAGAAATAAATGCCCACAACACTTAGGCAGAGTGGTCTTCAGGGGTTCTCGCAACTGCACTGTACATCTTCCTAATCCTCACCTGCCCCATTCCTGCCTACAATGCATCCTTCACACTGCAAACGAGAGGCACCTAGATCAATATGTGCCTTCTTGCTGCACTGCCCCCCATATGCAAATTTAGCCATCACCATTCACACTGCTCAATCAAACTGAGCTATGCTGCTGCCTTTCAATTCACCCAAACCAAGTTCTGTACTACCTACCTCATACTTGGTCTGTCTGAAATACTCTGCTTTTCCTGGCTGATCTAATGCTTCTTCTTTTCTTTTGTTTATTTGTTTGTTTGTTTGTTTGTTTGAGACAGGGTTTCTCTGTGTAACCCTGGCTGTCCTGGAACTCACTCTGTAGACCAGGCTGGCCTTGAACTCAGAGATCCACCAGAGTGCCAGAGTGCTGGGATTAAAGGTGTGCATCACCACACCTTTTTTTCTTAGTGATCTCTCTTTAAAGTTGCCTCTCTTAGATCCTAACACTTTCTGGTATTAACCTACAGACTTTCTTTTTTTCTTTTTTCTCCTTCCTCTTTCCCTTCCCCGTCTCTTTTCTTCTCTCTTTCCCACTGTCTACACTAAACCCTATTCCCTGAGAGCAGGACCCTTGTCACTCAGGCCTTGCTATGTCACCACTGCATTCACTGTAAGTTACTGAATGAGTTGTGTCACTGAGCACCTCCTCGGTTCCTTCCCTTGGTTTTATGGGAGGACATTTTTAGTATCCCACCCACATCTTTGACTCATTTTCTTTTTCTGTCTCGGGGACATCCAGTCTTCCTCCTACTTCATACTTAAAAGTATTCTGGAAGGCTCTGCATCATCTGTTAATGAACCCATCTGTTTTCATGATGTCAAGCATCATCTATGCCCAGATCTTCCTCAATGGTCGCCTTGCTGCTCTATACCACAGCACGGTCCTGGGTGTTGCCTCTCCTGAGGTGCACCAGCCACTCCAAGGACTTCGTTTTCCAAACAACTTTTAGTTCTGCCCATGATTCTACATATCTCCAGTCAGAAACAATGTGCTATATTCAGGAAAAACACAGACCTCAAGGCAGCCAGCCCTGGATGGAACCCCACTATCAGATGCTCATTTTACCATCAGAAAAGAGACCTTTGCTCAGAAGTATTACAAAACTCATAGACAGCATGTGAGCCCTACCTTCTGAGTATGTCACATAAAAGGTTACAGGCTGGCTAAAAGCCTCTGTTATTTTTCAATCTCCCGCTCCTGATCCGTATCTGGTCTCCTGCCAAATCTTGCCATTTGGCAATCATAAGACATTTGCAATAATGGTTTACAATAACTTTTACATGTATCCCCTTTTAATTATTATTTTGCCTTCACACTACAATAATCATAATACTTACCCAAGATTCTCTACTTATCCTATATATTACCAAAATCTGTATTTTAAAATCTCACCTAACAGCAAGGCTGTGGTGGCACATGCCTTTAATCATAGTACTTGGGAGGCAGACACAGGTGGATATCTTTGAGTTCAAGGCCAGCTTGGTCTACAAAGTGAGTTCCAGAACAGCCAGACCACAAAGAGAAACCCTGTCTGGAAAAACAAAATAACAACAAACCTCAGTTCACAGTGCTCTAGCCTGAACGTCACTGGCCCATCCTTCAGTTCCCCAATCCACTCTTCTATTACGTCCCGTCTACTGATGACTGCAGCCATATACTGATTTCATAAACAGGACTTTTTCAGGTCCATGCCACTTTCTCCCTACCTTTCCATCTTATTTAGTTTATTTGTAACAATCTGCTAACCTGGAAAGATAACATATGCCTGCTACACGGGAGGCAGAGGCAGGAGACCACCTGAATTAGGAGTTCAAAACCAATATGGTCAATGTATGGACACTCTCATTTCAAATAATAATAATAACCAAGGAGAGCAACAGAACCAAAAAATCTGGGCCCGGAGTCTTTTCTGAGACTGATACTCCAACCAAGGACCATTCATGGAGATAACCTAGAACCCCTGCTCAGATGTAGCTCATGGCAGCTCAGTCTCCAAGTGGTTTCCCTAGTAAGGGGAACAGGATCTGTCTCTGACATGAACTCAGTGGCTGGCTCTTTGATCACCTCCCCCTGAGGGGAGGGAGGGAGCAGCCTTACCAGGCCACAGTGGAAGGCAAAGACAGTCCTGATGAGACCTGATAGACTAGTATAAGATGGAAGGGGAGGAGGTTCTCCCCTATCAGTGGACTGGGGTAGGGGCATG